TGCCACTTTGGAATCGGCTTAAGTTTGGCAAAGTTATGGACTTTCGATGTCCAATTTTGGGTCATCATTAAACAAGTCATCGGAAAATAAGAAATAACTAACATGAAAATGGGTCCAAAATTTGACTATCGTTAAATTGAAAATTTTGAATGCAGATTTTTAGAGAATCCAATTACGAGTCTTTAGAGGTATGCCACTTTGGAATCGGCTTAAGTTTGGCAAAGTTATGGACTTTCGATGTCCAATTTTGGGTCATCATTAAACAAGTCATCGGAAAATAAGAAATAACTAACATGAAAATGGGTCCAAAATTTGACTATCGTTAAATTGAAAATTTTGAACGCAGATTTTTAGAGAATCCAATTACGAGTCTTTAGAGGCATGCCACTTTGGAATCGGCTTAAGTTTGGCAAAGTTATGGACTTTCGATGTCCAATTTTGGGTCATCATTAAACAAGTCATCGGAAAATAAGAAATAACTAACATGAAAATGGGTCCAAAATTTGACTATCGTTAAATTGAAAATTTTGAATGCAGATTTTTAGAGAATCCAATTACGAGTCTTTAGAGGTATGCCGCTTTGGAATCGGCTTAAGTTTGGCAAAGTTATGGACTTTCAATGTCCAATTTTGGGTCATCATTAAACAAGTCATCGGAAAATAAGAAATAACTAACATAAAAATGGGTCAAAAATTTGACTATCGTTAAATTGAACACTTTTAATGCAGATTTTTAGAGAATCCAATTACGAGTCTTTAGAGGTATGCCACTTTGGAATCGATTCTAGTTTGGCAAAGTTATGGACTTTCGATGTCCAATTTTGGGTCAACGTTAAACAAGTCATCGGAAAATAAGAAATAACTAACATGAAAATGGGTCCAAAATTTGACTATCGTTAAATTGAAAATTTTGAATGCAGATTTTTAGAGAATCCAATTACGAGTCTTTAGAGGCATGCCACTTTGGAATCGGCTTAAGTTTGGCAAAGTTATGGACTTTCGATGTCCAACTTTGGGTCATCATTAAACAAGTCATCGGAAAATAAGAAATAACTAACATGAAAATGGGTCCAAAATTTGATCATCGTTAAATTCAAAATTTTGAATGCAGATTTTTAGAGAATCCAATTACGAGTCTTTAGAGGTATGCCACTTTGGAATCGGCGTAAGTTTGGCAAAGTTATGGACTTTCGATGTCCAATTTTGGGTCATCATTAAACAAGTCATCGGAAAATAAGAAATAACTAACATGAAAATGGATCCAAAATTTGATCATCGTTAAATTGAAAATTTTGAATGCAGATTTTTAGAGAATCCAATTACGAGTCATTAGAGGCATGCCACTTTGGAATCGGCTTAAGTTTGGCAAAGTTATGGACTTTCGATGTCCAATTTTGGGTCATCATTAAACAAGTCATCGGAAAATAAGAAATAACTAACATGAAAATGGGTCAAAAATTTGACTATCGTTAAATTGAACATTTTTAATGCAGATTTTTAGAGAATCAAATTACGAGTCTTTAGAGGCATGCCACTTTGGAATCGGCTTAAGTTTGGCAAAGTTATGGACTTTCGATGTCCAATTTTGGGTCATCATTAAACAAGTCATCGGAAAATAAGAAATAACTAACATGAAAATGGGTCCAAAATTTGATCATCGTTAAATTGAAAATTTTGAATGCAGATTTTTAGAGAATCCAATTACGAGTCTTTAGAGGTATGCCACTTTGGAATCGGCTTAGGTTTGGCAAAGTTATGGACTTTCGATGTCCAATTTTGGGTCAACGTTAAACAAGTCATCGGAAAATAAGAAATAACTAACATGAAAATGGGTCCAAAATTTGACTATCGTTAAATTGAAAATTTTGAATGCAGATTTTTAGAGAATCCAATTACGAGTCTTTAGAGGCATGCCACTTTGGAATCGGCTTAAGTTTGGCAAAGTTATGGACTTTCGATGTCCAATTTTGGGTCATCATTAAACAAGTCATCGGAAAATAAGAAATAACTAACATGAAAATGGGTCCAAAATTTGATCATCGTTAAATTGAAAATTTTGAATGCAGATTTTTAGAGAATCCAATTACGAGTCTTTAGAGGTATGCCACTTTGGAATCGGCGTAAGTTTGGCAAAGTTATGGACTTTCGATGTCCAATTTTGGGTCATCATTAAACAAGTCATCGGAAAATAAGAAATAACTAACATGAAAATGGATCCAAAATTTGATCATCGTTAAATTGAAAATTTTGAATGCAGATTTTTAGAGAATCCAATTACGAGTCATTAGAGGCATGCCACTTTGGAATCGGCTTAAGTTTGGCAAAGTTATGGACTTTCGATGTCCAATTTTGGGTCATCATTAAACAAGTCATCGGAAAATAAGAAATAACTAACATGAAAATGGGTCCAAAATTTGATCATCGTTAAATTGAAAATTTTGAATGCAGATTTTTAGAGAATCCAATTACGAGTCTTTAGAGGTATGCCACTTTGGAATCGGCTTAGGTTTGGCAAAGTTATGGACTTTCGATGTCCAATTTTGGGTCATCATTAAACAAGTCATCGGAAAATAAGAAATAACTAACATGAAAATGGGTCCAAAATTTGACTATCGTTAAATTGAAAATTTTGAATGCAGATTTTTAGAGAATCCAATTACGAGTCTTTAGAGGCATGCCACTTTGGAATCGGCTTAAGTTTGGCAAAGTTATGGACTTTCGATGTCCAATTTTGGGTCATCATTAAACAAGTCATCGGAAAATAAGAAATAACTAACATGAAAATGGATCCAAAATTTGATCATCGTTAAATTGAAAATTTTGAATGCAGATTTTTAGAGAATCCAATTACGAGTCTTTAGAGGTATGCCACTTTGGAATCGGCTTAAGTTTGGCAAAGTTATGGACTTTCGATGTCCAATTTTGGGTCAACGTTAAACAAGTCATCGGAAAATTAGAAATAACTAACATGAAAATGGCTCCAAAATTTGATCATCGTTAAATTAAAAATTTTGAATGCAGATTTTTAGAGAATCCAATTACGAGTCTTTAGAGGTATGCCATCGATGTCCAATTTTGGGTCATCATTAAACAAGTCATCGGAAAATACGATATAACTAACATGACAAGAAAGGAAAGCTAGCTTCGGGCGGAGCTGAAGTTGATATACCCTTGCAGAATATTATGTACATTATATTCTCCAAAATTATTCATATGATGCATTTTTAATACTCAAAAAAAATCCCAACTTCCTAACTTTAAAAACACCAAAGTTATGGCATTTCCAATCGTTCAGTTATATGGCAGCTATAGGATATAGTCGGCCGATCCTTATGAAATTTGATAGGTCAGATTGATTGTCCAAAAATAAAACCCATAGAAAATCCCAACTTCCTAACTTAACAAACACCAAAATTATGGCATTCCCGTCAATCAGTTATATGGCAGCTATAGGATATAGTCGGCCGATCCTTATGAAATTTAATAGGTCGGATTGATTGGCCAAAAATAAAACCCATAGAAAATCCCAACTTCCTAACGTCGGAGATGTCTCCTTCACTGCGTTACACACTTTTGACCAAAATTATAATACCCTCTGCAAGGGTATAAAAATCGACCCCAAAATACAAACCAAGCTGAAAGATTTTTGGAGAATTAAACCACAATCATTTATAAGTATGCTGTTTTGAATTCGGATGTCTGTAAGAAAAGTATGCTAGTTTTAGCTCACTTTTCTGCAAAGGCCATGTATTAAAAATTATGAAAAATCGACCCAAAAATACAAACCTAGCTGAAAACACAGATTTTTAGAGAATTCAACCACAATCATTTAGAAGTATGCCGCTTTAAATTCGGATGTCTGTAAATGCTGGTTTTAGCTCACTTTTCTGCCAAATCACAGATTTTTAGAGAATTAATCTACAATCATTTAGAAGTATGCTGCTTTGAATTGGAAGAAAAGTTACGGGCTTGGAAATGCTGGATTTATGTCACTTTGCTGCAAAGCCATTTTTAGAAAATTTTTTAGAAATTATTAGAAACAAGAAAGGAAAGCTAACTTCGGGCGGAGCCGAAGTTGATATACCCTTGCAGAATATTCTGTAAATTATATTCTCCAAAATTATTTATATGATGCATTCTTAATACTCATAAAAAATCCCAACTTCCTAACTTTAAAAACAACAAAGTTATGGCATTTCCAATCGTTCAGTTATATTGCAGCTATAGGATATAGTCGGCCGATCCTTATGAAATTTGGCAGGTCGGATTGATTGGCCAAAAATAAAACCCATAGATAATCCCAACTTCCTAACTTTACAAACACCAAAGTTATGGCATTTCCGATCAATCAGTTATATGGCAGCTATAGGATATAGTCGTCCGATCCTTATGAAATTTGGTAAGTCAGACTGATTAGCCAAAACTAAAACCCATAGAACTTCCTAACTTGCTAACTTTAAAAACACCAAAGTTATGGCATTTCCGATCGTTCAGTTATATGGCAGCTATATGATATAGTAGCCCGATCCGGCTCGTTCCGACTTATATACTACCTGCAATAGAAAGACAACTTTTGGGAAAGTTTCAAGCAGATAGCTTTAAAACTGAGGGACTAGTTTGCGTAGAAACGGACGGACGGACAGACGGACAGACGGACGGACAGACGGACGGACAGACGGACGGACAGACGGACATGGCTTGATCGACTCTCCTGGTGATGCTGATCAAGAATATATATACTTTATAGGGTCGGAAATGTCTCCTTCACTGCGTTGCAAACTTTTGACTGAAATTATAATACCCTCTGCAAGGGTATAATGAGGAAAAATCGACGCAAAAAAACAAAGCAAGCTGAAAATAATAGCAGCACTTCGAAAAAAGAAGAATAATTTTTACCGACATAAGAACGCTAACATAAGTTTACAACAACAAGCTCTACCGCAATTTTTAATACAAACAATTAATTGAATTTTCTATATAAGCTTAGTGTACTAAAAGATATATCGTTGAATCATTTATAATTTTATTAATTTTGCATTGTCATAATTAAGTATTCATAAACATTTGCATTTTACATGAAACTACCCGTCCACATCGCAAAACAAAAAGAAAGGATAAAATCAATAGAATACAGGACGATAGCCATACCCAAATGAAATCTCGCCGTTAGGTGCACCAACAGTGTACCTTCTGTTGATGGGCAAATCCACTCTGGCACCTCCCCCGAATCCGCCGGTAATGGCTCGTATCAACTGATCGATAGCGCCAAAAGCACCACCAGTCATTAACGTCAAAGCAATCACAAAAACCTTACAAAATGCATGGGTAAAATTAGGACGATCAATTAAAGCGAGTATACTTACCAAAAGACGAATCATTATTAACACTGAAGTGTAAAGTGCCTTACTTTAAATGTTTATTCCAGATGATAGAGAATACAAACCGACTCGGGCTTATATAGCAAGCTCTTAAACATTTAAATGTAGATTGGAAATATGTTAATACAAATCGTAAACTTCTTGAGAGTTGTCTTTACAGACCCTGACACAAGGTTAATTTTATTGTTTGAGTGCATTATATAGTGCACCAATACTTTTAAACAAAATTGTCTCTCTATGTTCTTACACAAATCATGCTTACTTTTGAATATCATTACCCAAAAAGAACAGAAAGGTACTATCTAAAAATAAGTGCACAGATTACAAATTTGTACATTTGAATACTGATTCTTAAGTCCGGTTTTTTGTATTATTATGAGCTGCAGTGCGTTTTCCTAGTCTTTAAGGTATTAGTGTTGTGTCACTTTAACATCAGTTAACCATTGGTTAAGTTTGATCTCAAAATGTACGGTTCTTAAGTTCTTAAAATAGTTTAAAAAATTATACAAAAAAGAACTTGTTCAAAGGTCGATCGATTTTTTTTAATGATTTAAAAAAACTTTCAGGTGAAATCCATTTTGAATAAGAATCCGAATGGTCAAATTATGATTTATAGCAGAAGATTTTGGGGTCACCCTTTTAGAAGCCACCTGATTCTTAGAGATGGAGAACTATAAAATGGTTTAAAACTCTTAAAAGAGTGTAAGGCCAAAAAACTAATACTGTTTCTCAGAAATTTAATCTGCTATAACACTTTGAAAAACAGTTTCAAAAGGCATCGTTATAGGTTCAAGAAGTGCTGATTTGTGTCATTTTATAGGATCCTATCGGATACTCAAAAAAAAGCTTATATACGAATTTGTTAAACTTATGCCCCACTATTCGACTCCGGTTACTCAGTTACCCAATTTAAATACCAATATGCCCCCATCAGATGTCCTCATGTGCAATTCTATTGGTGCGCTAGTGGTGCTATCATGTAAGGCCTTTTATTCTTTGTTTCTTAATAATTACTGGTTTTAATTGAAACATTTTTGTTGTGTCGGCTTTGACCATTATTCCGCAAAATCAAACTTGTGTTGCTCTGCTCTATAATCTGGTACTCCAAAGATTAGGCCAATCCCTTACCTGAATTGAAAAGTATATTATTGGAATGCTGCTTAGTTTTATTAATGGGTATTACAATTACAAAGCTTGGCCAAGACAAATGTTAATTTTACCCCGACAGTTGTCGTTCTTAATACTAAAAGTTAAGCCTTAGCGTTAAACCGTCAGATCCGTTATTCCGTTGCATAAGTCGATTCCTCGGTACTATCCCAGCACTCCCAAGAGAGGAGACAACAGTCCCAATATGCCTTTTGGCGATGGCAATGTGCCTCCGAGATCCAAGCTGATGGAACCTTGTAGTCCGCGACCGAGAAAACCAAACTTATCACCAAAGAGCGGAATTCCTGGATTAGTTACCACCGGTGTCGAGGTCGAAGCAGAGAATCCGAATAAGTTTCCTAGTCCTCCTAGCAAGTTTCCGAATGGGGTGAAAATTCCAAAGGGGTCCAACGAAGGCCCGCTAAGGAATCCAGTTCCGAAAAGTCCATTTTGGCCGAACAGTCCCGTACCAAGCAGTCCACCGTTCCCGAAGATTCCGCCGCCTCCACCTACGGAACCACCCACTCCGCCGCTGATCGGAAAAGGTCTACCAGGGAGTGATCCACCGGGGAATGGTCGACCAGGAAACGGTCCTGCCGGGAATGGTCCACCAGGGAAGGGTCCGAAAGAGAATGGTCCACCCGGGAAAGGCCTACCCGGGAAAGGGCTACCCGGCAAAGAGTTTCCCGGACGGCTTGGACCAAAACCTCCGGGTGAACCAGGGCCCCCTGGTGGGCTGTTCGGCGAGTTAGGACTGCTTGGTGAAGAGGGTCGAGGCCACCCGAGGCCAAAATTGTATCCTGGAAAGCCCGGTGGAATCAGGTAAGGATCGTAAGGGCGTTGGTTCTTAATTATTGTGATTAAGTCGCTTCCCTGGCCGACTCCAGCTGATATTTTACTGTATCCGGGTCTCATGATATCATTTCCAGCCAAAATATTGGCAGCTTGGGCTGCTTGTAAGGCAGTGGCCAGCGCTGAGTAAGGACCTCCGGCTCCATAAATACCACCATCAAGTCCCCGAAGTCCTCCCGGATTAGCTCCAAAGAGAACATCTAAGTATCGTAGGGGCGCCATCTTGATGTCAGCCAAACCCTGGATGGCAGATTCGCCCTGACGGGCCAACTCACTGATAACAGCATGTGAGCTATCCCAGAACAGGATCAGCGAAAGGACGAGAATCTGTAAGCAGGACTGTAAGACTCAGTCTTTTTCCAGTAATATTAGTATAAAGGTGTTTACCAATTGTCGCACCATAGCGAAAGCTCTTTGCAACTGATGAACTGCCTTTCGTAAGTCTTGTTTTTATAGTATTTGTATATGGTAATTATAATATAGATGAGAAATATTATGCAAAAGTAGACTTCTGAGCTCAGACAGCAGACCAAGTGTTCAAGTTTAAGGTCATACTACCGTATGGAATTGTCAAAGTAGATCGGAATATGTGTACGATTCGAGACAGATGTTTTAATTTATTATCAAACTTTATAAATATTCCCGATATGGTCATGTTAACTAAATCAAACAAAAACTCTTAAAAGTCGTCACCTTCAACATCCAAAATTTCTGATATCAACTTTTGTAAAAAATATTTTACAATTTAGTATTAACAAAGGCAACATTTTTTACATCGGTGGATATCACTGCTTTCTTCACAGGTTGTGGGGCCTAGCATAATCCAGGGCAGCTTGCTCCAGGTTTCTGCTCATCATCTCAAAAATATCTTTCAAGTTCGCTGCCTTTCTCGTTAGTCGTTTATATTTGTTTTTCTGTACCTTTGGTTTCCAGGACGAACAATGCGTTGGTAACTCACGACTCTTAGTCCTATCCAAAGATATTTCAACTACTACTACTACTAACTTAACTAAACCAATTTTACGATATTTAAGTTTATTTATTCCCACGTCAATAACCGTATCCATGCTTTGGGCTCTTCCAAAGTGTCAGGTTTGTTTAAAGAAAATATTTACAAGCACCTTGACACTTTAAAGGATGCTTCGCACATACAACAACCAAAAGAACGGAAAAACTGAAAGCCAGATCGAAGTAAAGAAAGATAAATAGAAGGTTTGCTAGCTGACTGGGTGGTGAGTTTTTGGTTTGCCTTTATAAGGATTTCCATTTTCAATAAGAATAGGAGGGTGGATAGACCTTCAAGATGCAAGACACGAATTCAAGGAAGTGACACACAAAGTTTAGAGTTGAAGTACTTGAATACTTCGTTTTACGTAGACCATCTCAAGGTACTTCCACCCTCTTTGATAAGCGTGAGCACCTTTCAATAATATCCTCCCAGCTTAATATTGAAAACTGCATCATTTGAATGTGTTTTTATTGACGCGCCCTCAAGGGTGCCCGGATGTGTTGTCCTTTGGGTTTTTCATTCTAATATCCGCCGGTGATAAGTTGAATTATTGACAAGAGTTGGCTCCAGGGCCAAGAAGAGTATTGGTCGATGTCCAGCCATCTGTGTTTTCGATGTCCTGCTCTGCGTCGGAACTTTGCCCCATCTCTGGTCGGCTGTCGGGCGTTGATTCGATTTTTGGTCTGTGGTGCTGCCATGCCGCCCGCATCAAAGGAAGTTGTGATATCTTTTATCTAATAATATTTTTGTACTCGATGTTGATTTTTATTGGATTTAATTTATGCTGATTGACATAGTAATGTATGCTTTTATAAGATATTGACGCTTTCTTATCAACCAAGTCATTTTCTGCGTAGCATTTGCGAACCAAATACACTCTAACTTAGTTAATATTTTTAATTATTGTTGGTTTAGGTTTTCAGCTGCACAAAACAGTCATTCTCTTGGCTGTGCGTCTTATTTAGGCAAAGTTACAATAAATAGCCCTTAAAAATGTGTTGTTAAATCTTGTTAAAGCCCTTGGAAATAATGGTCAGATCTTGGAATGTCATACCTCGTTGGATTCAGTACAAAATTTCTAATCCATTGGTATTATTTTGGCTATTTTGGGCTTTCGCCAAAAATCATAGTGTTACCCCTTATAAAAATTGCGAAAAACGCTAAAAAAAAATTAATTTTACCAAATCAACCTGGAATTTATAGTAGAGATTCTCAGTTTTTCGTGACCCACATCCGGAAAAAAACAGCTCGATTTTTCGATCAAAACCCTTGGAAATAATGCCAAGTTCCGGAAAATGCCAATCCAGGAAAACTGGCACTAAATAACATTTTTTGGCTGAGTTGGAAATTTATTATTATTACTTAAAATATTCAATTAGGTATATATTAGGTATATGATGTGATATGAACGAGCAGACATACATGGCTAGATCGACTTAATGATACTAATAAAAATTATATATAGACTTTATAGGGTCGGAAATGTCTTATTGCTAACATCTGACTGAAACAAGGGTATACAAATAGTGTCCCGTTGTAAGGCGGTTATACTGCTTTCAAAACCAACTAATTGAAAATGAACCGACATTTGGACACACGCGTATATATCATAAATGTCAACCCATTAGACCTTCTTTTGCCAGGATGATGGCCAAAGTGCGAGAATGCGTGTCGTATGTAAATTAATACAAATGGAGAAATGGGATAATTTTGGCAAGAGAACCAAACATGCAAAGGACATCAAAAGGGCACACGCAATAGTCCGAATTAGAGTCTTCAAGTGCTCATAAACTACATGCACATTCCGAATGCGCGTTAATAATTTATGTGGGCTAATAGACGACAAGATAACCATCATATGCAGGGAATCCACATCATGCCGGTTTAACTATCTATTTATTTATCCATTGTAGCTTCTGTTTAAAGGGCTACAGGGGTGTCACTACCCGCTGGCCCTGTGACACCGTCAACCCTTTTTTTCCTTGTTCTGGGCGAAAATTTATGGGACATATTTTATTGTCCTTTCGACTAACGAGTAGCCAAGACCTAAGTGTATCAGCTTGAAAATGAGACTTCTTGCAAATTTGTATAGACGATCTTGATTATTTATATAATCAAGGTAAACAGTTCAGTCCTCCCTCCTCTAAGCCAATTTGTTTCCTTGTTTGCATATCAACATGACACACACACGAAACGTCCATTCACTGTTTCCGAAATTTAATTAACAAAAGGGTCAATTGTCGCGTGTGGGCGGCATCCTTTTGCCCAACTTTGTCAAACCTCTATTTGTGAGCAAACAATATTTTTGATTAATTTATGAATTTTCGTGTGAAATTTTTTGTTTCTCTATTTATTTATGCCCTTATGGATCAACATTGCGTGCCACTCATAAAAGTTCATGTTTATTTAGAGAACATTTTGGTAATTACTTTCATTATTGTTAATAGTTTGTAATTGCACCATAAAGGTATTAACCTGAATTGTAAAATATTTATAGTGTTGTTCATCAAGAACTTCAATATAACATTTTATTGTTACAAAGCGCGCTTTTGTTAAAATTAAATGATATTTTTCAGATTGGATTGTATAATACCGTAGGCATTTGTACAGTTATATTGGTATCGCATTACTTCAGGGGCGACCTAGCGACACCATAAAAGTTTCGCTAACTATTTTCAAAATTAAATTAAAACAAAAGGCCTTTTCTCAAACACTCACACATTCCTCGTCATCCTCCTATCCAAACTGTTTTAATCTTTGCATGTCAAATCGTCCCTTTCCAGATGGAAGTTGAAAAACTTTCATAGACACACAGCAAAATCAATAAATGACTTGTTAAGTTTTCTAGCCTTTGTTTTATTTTGTGTCAATTTAAAGTTTTCTTGTAACCGAAATCGAATTTTATTTTTAAACGTCACATTTGACTGAAACCACATTAGCAAGCTTTTCCATTTTAAAAATTCTCTATGCAACTTAATGCACTGAACTTGTTTCCCACCTAAGCGTTACAATGCGGTGTCCAGCCATGAATTTTTCATGGACATTTTTAAACTGCTTTGGCCGGGCAAGGCACACAGAAAGCTGTAACTGTTATAGCACAGAAAATCCCGTCAGCAAACAGTGCAGTGGAATCAACCCAAGATAGACGCGGCACTCGGAGCACACTCAACGACGCTGTCACTGGCAAATGTTTACCCAGTCGCATGAGTAGGAGTCAGAGCGGAGATGGCATGAAGCAGGGCATGAATAATAAATGCTCCAGTTGGTCGCTCCGTCCAGTTGGAATATGTGCTAAACTGTCAGAAAGTGGAGACATGTCGAGCACTTAGTCATACACCGCCATCTCACACCTACACTTACGATTTGTACACACAACCGAAGAAAACCCTCTCCCCTTATGTGAGCTTTCGCCACGGTAATTAACTTTACAAATCGCATGCGAGGGTGTGATTAATTATTCCAAAACCGGACACTCAAACTCGCAAACCGGACAGTTAACCCATTTCGGCATCGATAAGGGTTGAACGCACAGCTGTGGAAGAGGCGTTGCGGGGGAGTGCACCGTGGCTTTTGACACTTAAAATTTCGAAAAACACATTTGATGAATGTTTGCTCATAAGGCGTAAATTGAAACTATTCTTGACCATGGACCCAAAACTTGTGGCCGTTTGACCACATGCCACTTAGCACATGGTTTGGCATGCGGACCCCAATCATCCAACCCCAGCTACTCACATCCCAGTATTCTTTGGACGGTTGCACATATGTTTCCCAGAAAAAGGGTTTTCTACCGGTCAGTTTTCTTATCAGAGTCAAAATTTCGCATTAATTTTGACTTGGTCAACACTTCATTAATCACACCCAGCCAGGCACAAGTATTCTTATGTCTTGTGGTCAAGGACATGTGCGTGTGTGCAAAAGTTTTATTAGATGCTTATCGCCAAATTGAAAATTGGGTGCACGATGTATGCCTCTCGTGGATTAAAGGCACGCACACAGCATCCTTTTCGGGATTTCTAACCCTCATAATCGAGCAATCCCTTATTGTTTTGGTATTCCTTATTTCATATTCAAATTTACGTCTCCACTGATCCTTGCTTATATTTACAACAGCTGTTTATTTCGGCTACAAATATTTAAAGGTGGGTGAGACGAAAACAGGAAGGGTTAACTTGGGGTTGTTGACCGTGACAGCAATGCCTATTTTCTCTTGACGCAGAAACATTTAAAGATGAAAAGTATGTCAAAATGTGGTTTTAGTTCTTTCGAAATAAATCAACATAATATTTAATGTTTCGCCGACTTCCTGTACTTTTAATTTACCACAAAAACCTAAAAATTGGGAAACAAATAAAATTTTAAAAAGCAAACAAAAATTACTTTTAAAAACTTAAACAGTGGAAAAAC